TCGGACAAGTGCGGCACAGCCGCCATTTTGTATCAAAAATGTATGAAAATATTCTTATTTGTACTTTATTTATAATATTATAATGCTTATTTTACAAATTTTTGATTGATCATTTCATTGAGCCAAAAAAAATTCCCGAAAATATACTTACTTTTTCGTGCTCTACTGTGGTTTCCCCCCTTAATTAAAGATCCAGTTTCGACCGTTATAGAATTTAATATTTTTATTTATTGTGTATTCACATTACGGTGGAATCTTAATAAATTATTTATTATTTATAATAATTAAAAATATAACATTATTAAATATTTTTAATACTAATTCTTATTACTTCTAATCTCAAATTACACAATTTAATAATAAATATATTTTATAATCAATTAGCTTTACCCTATAAGCGCAAAATATTCCTATATCATATAAATATTATTAAAAATATACAGCCAATATTTCTCTATCATCGATAGCATGTTTCGAGGTTAAGTCTTATTATTTCTTATTTCAAATTACATGATTTAACAATAAATATATTTTATAGTCAATTAGTTTTACCTCATAAGCGCAAAATATTCCTATATTATACAAATTAATTATTGTCAAAAAATTAAAATATTATAATATTTTGAAAATATTATATAATATTTTTAATATTATGCTTTTTATAGAATAGTTACATAAATTACATTATAAATTAAAGCTTTATTGCAAAGAAAGAAAAAGAAACATCGATGTTATACAGCCGATATTTCTCTATCATCGATGCATGTTTCGAAGTTAACTTCGATGTCAAATATTGAAGTCATTCTTTTCGATGCACATCCCTATCCACAAGATTGATTCATTTTTGTCCACATTGATTGTATAAAATCTCTGATGCATTACCATTATATTCTATATTTTTATAAGAGGAGCGTAATGATAACCATAGTAACAGTAAAATATATACACCACTGATGGCGGCTCACGTTGCGCTAGCGCGCATGTGTGAATTTATCCCGAATCTTGCAACACTCGTAGCCCATACATATTTACTAAATTGTAATATTGCAACATGTTGCAATATTTTTTACAAAATTAATATTATAATATTTTGCAATATTGTTGCAATATTTCCAATAAAATATATTATAATTTCAATATTGCTACAATTTTTGTCGTATTGAAATATTTTTGCAATATTTCGTACTGAAGGAGTAAGTACGCGAATTTGTCAGGAGAGGAATACCCTACTCGTAAGAAGAAAACTTCCAATAGTACTTTAAGAAGAAAGAGTTAGCGTGTCTCCCAGAAATTTTCAATTTTTTTTAGATGTGCTTTCTAGAACTTTGATTTTTTTTATCGTGATTTTATCATACATAATTTAGAATGTATAATGCTGAGCAATAAGATTTCAGTAATTAATAAAACCATGTGAATTATATGTCATATGATTTTATTAATATATCATAATGTTGCAATATTGCAAAAATATTGCAGAAATATTCCTGCAATGAATTTTTTGCGGACATTTATTATTGTAGCAATATTTATGCAATATTATTGGTATATTACTATGTAATATTATTGTAATATTACTACAGTATATAGAAATACTATCGCAATATTGCAAAATATTACTATAATATGTAGAAATATTGTCTAATATGACAATAATATTACAAAAATATTGCAGAAATATTTCAGCGATTAATTTATCGCGGACATTTAATATTGCAGCGATATTCATATTACTGACATATTATCATGCAATATTACTGCAAATTTGTAATATTACTGCAAGATTATTACAAAATTACATTTTGGTGGATAGAGGATGGATAGAGTCTAAAACGGAATTAATATAATGACAAGAAGAGTTTTTACACAAGTAAGTACTAATAAAATAGACTTAAACTGATAAAAAAGTCACACTGTACATTTCAATACAAACGTTTATCGTATGTATATATATTTAAATATACATATGGATTTAACATGTATGTTTCTTTATAACACAAGAAATGAAAAATATTTTTTACCATATTTCAATTATAACAAATTTTAATAATATGAATAACGTTGTAACAAACATCAAAATTACAGCAATAATGTAAAATAAAACATTCTATAGAATTTGCTGGTTATTCTTTAGGAGGTTCTTGTGCTATTTTCTAATCAATAGACAGCTTAAATACTTAAAATATGTAAGAATCGATTAAAACAGTACTATAGAGACATTATCAGCTACATTATGTTATATATAATTACATTAACTAATTTGTTAATATAATTACATATAATTATTAATTTTACATGTTATTAAATATTTTAAATTAAAAAATATAAGTTGTAAGACGTTTATTTAATAATAAATTTGGTTTAATAATGATTGATTCATTACGTTTGAAATTATATAGGTATCTTTAAGTTATTGTTATGTTACGTTTTTTTCTTTCACAGTGCACACGGCAAAATATGTAAATAATGAAAACGTTGTAACATCTTAAATATGAAAGACATAAATTTAAAAGCTATTAGTAAGTTTAAAATGAATTTTTCTGTAGGTATTACGTAATTATACACATATGCGTCGTTTACTTGACAAGTATTTTTGCTACTTTTTATCGAAAAAAGGATATTAATTTTTGTTTAATTATGCGCTTAATTTAAAAGAAACATTATCAGAATAAAAACTTAAGTTTACTTTGTCATTATAACGTTTTTGAAATTTCTATTTCATATACAATGTCTCAAATTAAGAAAAAAATATTTATAATATAAAGTTTTGCGTATGCATAATGTAAAATTCCATTCATTTAGAACTAGATATCTTCCAAACGGTACGGTAAAAATCAATGAAATGTTTTCTAGATATTATTAGTATAATTAATCTTTGTATTATATATACACATTACATTACGGACTTGTTTTATATTTCATCAAATGTGAGAACCTCCTTAAAAAATATATAAGTTCTGATTGGCATTATTAAAAATACATATAGCCAAGAGTCTCGAACAGCATCGATTTTATTTCAAAGCAAATACTAAATTGTACTATATCTTATACATGTACACATAGATACTGAATAAGTTTGTCGCTTGTATTGCACGTTAACTAAAATGTGATCGCGAAAGTCTTTAGCATTTCTTTTTTTTCTTTCTCTTTTCTTATCTGTGCATAAAGATATTTACAAAGAAAAGAAAAATTACTGCCAAAATGTTATCAGTATTTAATTCATATTGTCGGTTGTCAGTGCCAAAGTAGTAAGTACTGATCGACGATTTGGATTCACCCCCAAATTTTCCCAATTTATCCAGGATAAGCGTGCCGTCAGATCTGCAATAATAGGTGTAATATTTAATGTCTTAAAAAGTTGTAATATTATTATATATATTTTACACAACTTAAATGATATTCATACGATTAATTTTATAATATAAATATGTAGTTTTTTCTAGGGATGCACCAGATATCCGAACAGTCTGGTATTTGGTATTACTTTCTTACTATCTGACCGAAAACCGTCGGATGTCATTAATATTCGAGAATATATCCAGTTGAAATTTTATATCATTAAATTGTTGATTTTTTATTATATAAATGTTCTATAAATATATAAGTGCATAATGCTATAATATTTTATATATTGCTGCAAAATTACAATTTCTTTTTCTACAGTTATCATCTTTATTGATAATCATCTCGGATAATAACATTAAAATTGTAATTATTATCATTTTCCCTTACAGTCTCTTTTCTTTTTTGATCAGTTTTTTTTTAGACATTGTCCTGGAATCCGGTCGGATATCCGGAAAATATTGGATGCCCGACTTAAAGAATTACCTTCCCAGATATTCGAATGGATATCCGATGTTACATTCTTTTCGGATATCCACGGATAATTTTATGATCTGATGCATTCCTAATTTGTTCTAAATTAAATATTTGAGAGAGCTGTGTATTGTCAATCTGTATAATTTGGATAAAATTAAAACGTTTATATCTTAATGAAATAGTATGGAACATATGACAGTTAAGAGATTCATCTTCATCGAACGAAATGATAAAATTGATCGCGTTCAGCAGATTCAACTGTTGCGGACCGTGAGCGCTCGCTGCTACTGGTGTATTCTTTCAGATCATCTAATATGAACAACAAGCGCTTATGGATCTGCTCCGTAATAGTTAATGGCGCGATCCCATGGTGCAGAATTTGGAACAATGCTCGTCCAATCGCAAGCGTTCCGTCAATTGTACTCCGCCAATATGTATTTTCTTATGTCCCATGGAACTAGTGAAAGCGTAATTGGCGTGTGTCCAATCACAAGAGATCTTATCCTTTCTGTTGTATCTATGGGAACAGTTATATTATTGGCTTGCATAGATTATATTTCTGCGTTTTTCTGCACTATGGGACATAAAGAAACGAACTCATGCGGACCGAAATCACACATGCGTGTATATACGAGTATATATTCAAAATTCAAGAAATCCAATCCAAAACTCTACAAATCTTATTCGGTTGAAAATAACTTATTCGATTAACAATATTTTAAATAAAACAATTGTTAATATTTAAAAGAATATAGATTTAAAACTTGTCTTATATTATTTGCAGATTATTAAATTCATTAAAACAGTATTTGTGTATTTAAAAAAAGGAGCTGCACCGCAAGATTGCAAAGCTATAATATGTATTATATAAACTTGCTGAAAGAAATAAAAATAAAAAATGAAAATATTGGGTGCAACCCGTATTTAGTGATGAAAAGAGATTACAACAAGGAGCGAGTGACAATCTTATAAAAGAAGTGCTGATCGAAGATAGAGAAAAATATGTGGATTATTTTAGAATGTCACTTCAATTATTTGAAGTTTTTTGCTAAACATTCGACATTTTGTCTTCTTCGCACAAAATCTTACAATTTCGGCAATTCCGTACATCGTGTGCTCATAAAATAAAAACTTGCGGATAAAATCCGCGGAACGAACATAAAACAAGTCTAACCAATCACGAGCATTCCGCCAATTCTACATTGCACATACGTTCCGCCATGGGATCGCGCCATGTATCTGCTGAACGACCATAATTTTTATTTTTCGAGGAATTTATATGCAAGTTTATGCATGTAAATATCTTTCCAGAATGCCCGTTGACCTATTACTTTTTTGTGATCATTAAAATCATAATTTTTTTAAATGATTATAATCTCGTTTTTGAGAAAAGTCTATGGTGAGATTTGTGTACTAATCAAAGATGCGTCTGCGAGCTTTATCCGTCACTAACAATAAGTTATATGTGAAAAGTACATTTTCAACACTTTTTTCTCTCTTATTTCATTATTAACCTACCGTAAAATTTTGCACATGTCAATTTCGATACTTCAACTTTATTATATTGAGAGTATAAATTAGTTCGGTCCGTTTTCCAAAAGATGGCTCTGGCTGTTGTGAATGGTTTATAGTGACAGCTGATTTTGGTTTTCAGAGAGTTTTTAGACATCTGCTAATAATATTCAGTTTATATCGCTTTGAGTTTCATACAAAAACCTTGATTTTTACTGTGTTTGAAATGTCGAATTTTGTGTTAACCAAAGCATTTGCGGGAGATTCTAATTTTCTGCTTTAATTAGAAGAAAAGTGCAGCTGAAGCTCATCGAATGCTTATCGAAGTTCATGGTGACACTGCTCCAACTGATAAATCATGTAGGGGATCATGTGATTTCGATGTTTCAAGGATGGAGATTTCAGCATTGAAGACAAGCCTCGCTCTGGACAGCCAAAAAAATATCTAAGACAAAGAATTAGAGGTATTACTCGAAGAAGATCAGAGTCAAACGCAAGAGGAGCTTGCAGAATCATTGGGAGTAACTCAACAAGCCGTTTCTGCACGATTGAGAGCCATGGGAATAATTCAAAAACAAGGAAATTGGGTGCCTTATGAACTGAAACCGAGAGACGTTGAAAGGCGATTTTTCACTTGCAAACAGTTGATTCAAAGACAACAAAGAAAAGGTTTTTTACATCGGACTGGAGATGAGAAGTGGATATTTTACGACAACCCTAAGAAGAAAAAATACTACGCTAAGCTCAGTCAATCGTTGCCATCGACCTCAACATCAACACCAAAGCCGAACATTGATGATTCGAAGATCATGCTTTGTATCTGGTGAGATCAAAAGGGTGTTGTCTATGAGCTGCTGAAACCTGGCGATTCCAGCGGTATTGGCTACAATTGATTCGTTTGAGCCGTGCATTGCGAGAAAAACGGCCGGAATACGAGCAAAGACATGATAAAGTTATTTTTCTTCATGACAACGCTCGGCCTCATGTCGCAAAAGTCGTAAAAAAATATTTGGAAACGCTCAAATGGGATGTTTTACCGCACCCGCCGTATTTTCTCCGGACATTGCTCCTTCTGATTACTGGTTGTTCCGAAGGATGCAGCACGATTTGGAAAGTCCGGTTCACTTCTTTCGCAGAAATCGAAAATTGGCTCCAAAATTGGATCGCCTCCAAAGACGAGTCATTTTTTCGAGATGGAATTCGAAAATTGCCTGAGAGATGGGAAAACGTAGTAGCCAGCGATGGACAATACTTTAATTAAGCTGTTCATTCATTTTGTTTTGAAATAAATGCATTTTTGAATACAAAAAAACGGTCCAAACTAATTTGTACTCCAATAAAAAAAAAAGACATTTCTATGGTAGCTCGATTTATTAAAGAATAAAAAATCTCATAGGATCGTACATGTAAAAACACAACTAATAAAAAATAAATGCCTTTAAGAGTCTAATTAGATCTTAAGTACTTGTATAATTCTGTGATTTTATATATTATGTATAATATATAAATTTATATATTACGTATATGGTCCTTTCAACTGCGCACTGAAATGATTTTTCGTTCTTGAAACTTTAAGATCAAAAAATCATTTCAGCGCGCAATTTAAAGAACTACATACTCTCGGTATATAAATTCATACAGAGTTATACAAGCATTTAAGACCTAGCTGGACTCTTACAGGCATTTATTTCCTATTGGTTAAAAAAAATATAATGTTATCATCTTCAAAGTATCTTCTTTTGGACCTTGAATATTATATATTTAATTTCTATAAGGTAAAAAATATTCTGCAGAGAACAGTATTTCTCTTGTTGAGAATTTAATATTAAATTAAAGTCATTCAAGTTTAATTATTTGTAATAATAAAGGAAAATTACCAATAATATATAAGTCTTCCAAAAGATATTACTTTATTGCTCGTGAACTATTGTATTTTATTTTTCGGACACTATTGTAAATTACTAATAAAATATAATCTGGTCAACAAAGTAAAATTGTAATTAATATATTTGTGGTTTATTTCTACAATACAAAATCAGCTAAAAACAAAATTAAAAGACACAAAAATAAAATTTTTATGGTTTTCTTTTACAAATTGCATAGTTTAAATAATTTAAGTGGCTATATACTTAAATAGTTTAAATGACTATATATTTTTTATAATATTATATCGTTGTAGATGTTTGTAGTTTTATAAATCAGTCTTATTAATATTTCTTTCTTTTTTATTTCCTTCATGATGGTTTTAAATATAAAATCGAGGTGCATCGTAAATTTGTCTATAAAATATAAGATAACATAATATTCATAGTGTTGTGTTCCTATCGGATCTAAAGGCAACTTTATATTTATGGGAAAACTAAGAAAAAAATTATCGCGTTACACGTTTACGTCTTGCATGAAGTATGTATACAAATAAACAAAAAAACATCTTATACCGAAACGAAAAGATTTTAGAAAATGTTATTTACATTCATATATAGGTATTTTATATTGATAATTTCTGTAAAAAAAGAATATGAATATGTGGCATTATTGTTTATTGTGTCAATTTTGAGGACAAATTTGTTAAAACACTCACTTTTATCTTACAAAAAAGTTAATTGCAAAATTGTAAACAATAAAAATTGTTATGTTATTGCTGAAGATACTTGCTAGTTTGTATTCTAAAATTTTATTTTTAGCTTTTGTTTAAGAAATACTATCTAAAAATGAAGTGGTATGTCGATATCAGCGACCTTTCTCTACTACTAATTTAATATTTATAATGCGAACAAAGACAGAATCGAGAGTATATATTTTTAAAATTAGAAGAAAATATTTAAGAAAATTTTTGACGCAATTATACATAATTATCTATCTAATTCAGGCCCATCCAATATTTTTCTCGCGAGCTAAATGCTTTTACCATTTCATTGTCTCATTAAACAAAAAAAAAGAATACAAGAAAAAAATAGATAAAGCTAAATGCTAGAATTAAATCAAGAGTT